GCAGGCCGGGAAGTGCGCCGCCGCGAGGGTGTCGACGTTGCGGGCCGACATGTCGGCGCCGAGGCCGGCCGCCGACGTCGTGCCCGAGAGGTAGGCCGAGTCGGGCGTGATGAAGTTCTTGGAGAGGTGGTCGAGGATGGGCGTCAGGCGGTCGTCCTCGTCGAGACGCGGCAGGGCGCGCGCCGTGAGCTCGAGCTGCTTCTCGAGGCGCTGGGTGAACTCGCCGAGCACCATGCTCGCCTGCTCGCGCGCCGGCACGTAGGCCTTGCCGGCGCGCAGGAGCACGCGCCTCTGCTCGACGAGCTCGGGCACGCGGGCCCAGTCGACCTTGAACCACGTCTCGTCCTCAGGGTTGTGGCTGCCGCTCGCCTTGGCGCGTGCGGGCATCATGGCGGCGAGCTCGGACGAGAGCGCGGCACGCTCGTCTTCCGTGACCGTCTCCCACCAGTCGAGCTCGAGGCCGGCCACAAAGGCGCTCCGGTCGGCGAGGTCGTCCGAGTTGAAGCGCAGGCGGAACAGCATCGTCTCGACTCGGGAGAAGCGGCGGCGCAGGTCTTCGGTCGAGGCAAAGGCCAGACGCAGGATAAAGTGGCTGTAGTGGTCCTTTTGTCGCTGGGCGAACAGCTGACTCGACTGCGAGGAGGACGACTCGAGGGGGAGGAGCTTGTCGAGGAGGGGCTTCATGTGGGAGGCAACCTCGGCGGGGGGCTTGTTGCGAAAGGAGCATGCCTCAAGCTCGGCCAGGACTGCAACCTATGGTCAGCAAAGGAAGAGAGAGAGAGAGAGAGAGAGAGAAAAAAAAAAAGAGGATGCCAATAACGGGCCGAGAGGGACGCACTTCGTAGTCTGTCGATAGCCCATTGTTCAAACTGCTCCAGAGTGATGTCGGCCGTGGGTGGATCGGCGTAGAAGTTGAGGCGATGGGGGTATTTTTGCTCCTTGTGGGAAGCCTCGGCGAACTGCTTCTTGCGATGATCGCCAATGTTTCGCCTTTTGGCATCGATGCGGTTGTGATCTGGTCGGAACATGACGGCTGGTCGCGACAGGCTTCGTGGGCGCTATGAGGCTTGTTCGAAGAGGCAAAGCGACGTGATGGCAAAGGTCGTGGTCGTGATCGTGGCCGTGGTCGTGGTCGTGGAGGGCCAAGGTCGTCACAGAGACGGAGAGAGACGCGTTTGGAGCGCGCTGAGACGCGTCGGAGGGGAGAATCAATTAAGGACCAGCCAAAACTCGAGCCAATCAGCGCGTCACACTCTTGAGCCCTCTAGCAAATCGGGTTCGTCCCTCTTCCGGCTCCGTCACCTCTCGGTCTGACATAAGCAAACAGTGGTCATGCGCCCTCGCCAAGATCTTATTCCATGACTCGGGCAACGTCCCATGTCTTCCTCGATCAACCCCCCCAGCATCAACCCCAGTGTTCCAGCATCTCAGCACCACAGGCAGCACACAGAAGGCTCTCCTTTGACATCATACATAGTCATAGACCTAGACCTGGCGTGACATTGCGACCGAAGGCTTCAAGAACGCCATGCAGCCCCTTGTCTCTCTTCATGCTGGTTGCATTCAGCAGGTGGGCGCCACGCCGTGCTTGGTGCCCCTGCGAGCGCGCTGACGACACATCTGACATGGCATCGTAGGCAGTTAAGAAGAGTTCTCTTCCACCGCCGGCTCCCTCTACCGCGTACGCACTTTTCCCCAACGGCAATAATCCTCGCAGCATCGCCTATCGATGCCACCTCGATGTCACCTCGATGCCTACATGCGTGCCGGTCCTGAACCTCCGCAGGCTGCCATTCTCGGGTCCTTCCTGAGGTAACGTTTCCCTGCTTTCGCAACCGCCGGACAGACATGGCCTCGCCCGTCACCCCACTCGGCATGTCACCCTGCGGGGGCGCCCCGGACCCTGAACACAACCATGCAAGCGGATGCCTACCCAACGTCCATCCTTTGCTGCGAGGCGCTTCCTCTCGCTGTGCTGAACTGATGTACACTTGGTTGGCTGCGAGGATGCCAGGTCTGTCTGCCTGCAAGGCCTGCAAGGCTGCCTCGACATGTGTGTGTTTCTGGGCCCAGGGAGACATCCTTGACAGGCTGCTTATCTGTTGTCGTCTTGCCCGCCCTGGCTCTTGCCAAGTGCAGAACAGTCAAGCAACGAGCACCAAGAACGCACGCGTTGATGACCAACAGTCTGGCCGTAAACAGAGAAATGTAGAGGGATGGCAACCCCTGCTTTGGCGACAGTGTCAATGGAGTCAGGGGGGGCATCATCAACGCCTGTCCTCTCCGCTCAGCAACCCGGAGGACTCGCCTCGCAAACCCATCCATGGCCCACGCCTTCGTCCTCGACAACTTCTTCGAGACAAAATAGTGTCACTATAGTCGGGCGAGGGCCACGCCACGGGAGCCCGTTCGTACTGCTGAACCGGGGCTTGTCGCTTTTTGCAAAAGGAGCCATGGACCGGCTTTCCGTGGGTTGACAAGGACTCCTTCCGTCAAGATTCACCGGCCGGCCACCGACCGTGCTTTGGGCGGCGTTGCTGACGTTCCCGGGGTATTGGGCACCGAGTTCGCTTCCCAGGCTGCCTTTGGCCCGATGACATGGCCCAGTCACCCTGGCCCTGGGGTGCGCTGCAGACCTCGATTAGGTGTGAATAGACGAGTGGTGGGGTGGAGGCCGACAAGGCTGGGCGCTGGCTGGTTTTGTAAGCAATAGACAACGCGCAGCCGCGTTGCCGTTCGGTCGATCATGGTGTGAGGGAACAAGGCAACGAGATGAGACTTGCGCTTTCAACGCCGTCCAGGCGATACGACACGGCTGGGCATCAGGCCATGCCCGACAAACGACTGCAACCAACAGACATCCGCCGCGTCACCGCCCCAGTCGAGCGTCAGCAGGCTGAAGCGAGCAAGAGCTCAGCTTCGACAGACCAGACAGCCGCCAGACTCACCAGCAGACTTCATCGACAAGTCCCAGCAGGAACCTACGTGTCAGAAGTCACTCGCACGCCGTCCTCTGCCAGCTTGGACGGCCGGCCGGGTCACCTCCCTTGCATCTTTCCTCTTTCTCTTCCTCATCGCTACTCCATCCCCCCCGGACGCCCGTCATCAGCCGCTGCCATGACCACGGCGACCCAGGGACTTGCTGCAGTGGGTCTGGGCTCATGAACCCGGTTGACATACCTGTCATTTTTCTTGGGTCCTGGCCCAAACATGATCCTCATCGCTACCCGCTGGACAACTGCACTGTGCTGCTGTCACCAATCGAGAATGTCGAGACACGAGCAGTGAGGCAACGGTGGCTTGTCTCATCGCCATGGCAAGCTGCGGTACAGAGTGATGTGCACCTACCGACCAGCATCTGAATCCTGTCGAGTTTGACCTATCACACCTCGTCGTGCGCAGCAAGTAGGGGGCCGGGCGAAAGGGCCGGGCCTGATTCTGACAGGCGAAAGAACCTCATCCACTAGAGATCATATCTGACTCCGCGGATGACCCGTGTCCAGCGTGATGTGGGCAGCCCAGTGCCATTTCCCGTTGGAGTGACATTGACCCAAAGAATCGTCATGATGAGTGAGTAGGTATACCCACGGGGGCAGACGGTGCGGTCCCGGGCGATACCAACCTCATGAAGATCCCTTACCATCTTCCAGAGGCTTCCCTGCGCTGGTCGTAGAGCCGGCGAAACAGCAGCGTCCGTACCATTATGGATCCTCAGCTTCACCTCGATTTTCGGTGTCGACCGAAGAGGGGAGTAGCAAAACACGATTCTGGTTGCAGCTTTCCCAAGCTACATGCATGGGCAATCTTCCTTTCGCCCCCACCCAACAAGGAAGGTATGATTGTACAGAATCGCTGTTCTGCACAAGGTCGGAAAGGCAGAGGAAGACACCGCAAGCCTCCGCTGCCGAAAGTGACTCGAGATGGCGTATATTTCTGCAAAGGCAACACAGATTCGGGTCTTTGGGCTTGGCGTATTGTCAGTGAGAGACGAAATGATGGCAAACCATGTGGTGCTCTTTCGTACCATCTCATCAAGATCACCCATCAAAGTATGAACAGTGACTCGATCTGCGTGCGTTTAACCCCCATCTCCATCGAGAGTCCCCGTAGCGCCTGGACGCTCCGTGGGACGGACGCCTGGTGTCAACACCCAAAACAATAGTCGACAGCAATATTACAGGGTTCAGGGAAGAATGGACTACAGGACCCGGCCACTCGGCTTCTGGACCGCCATCGCCGCCCGTAGCAGATGTGACATTGCGCCGGCGCTTCGACTCGGCTACTGGGAGTTGAGGCACAAATCTTGTTGCTCTTGTTTCGTGAGATGCATTTGTCTGCGAATGCACACCAGCCGGCCAAATGTCCAATTCTGCCACCAAATTAGATCCGACGTCGACACGTTCAGACCACGTCCCATGTGTGACAAGTGATATACGATAGCTTATACACTGCCCATGGGTATTAATCAAGGCTCCGCAGCTGAGAGATGCCGCCAAAACCAGGTATGTTTGTTCAACACACACGTCTCAAGGGCCTGTATAGACAACCACGATAGACCGGCTCCGAGTGCCGCGTGTTCGCTGCCGTGAAGGATGAATAGGGTAACCCGATGGTCCGGCAAGTCCAATCCTCCAGTGAGCCCCATTGAGATCCATGTTTGCTGTACTGCCGGCGCAGCAGGAAAAGAAGATGTGAGGGACTCAACATGTATTCTTTAGGGATAATTAGGAACCCTTGTTCATCGCAAAATGTGGGGGTCATTTCCGTTTTGACCCTGTCTCGAACACTGAACAGTTGGTATTCTGGGTCTACTCGCTCTTGGGGCCCCGGCGAACGACTTGCTCAACGCGAGAAAAGAGAGGACGGGCCCGGGAGACGCGCCGAAAGGATCTCCGTTCGAGATGGAAACGTCAGCCTCGAATGATGTAGCCAAGATGTCGGTTTGCCCTTTTCTATGGATGGCCTATGGTCCGAAGGCCAAAGATACAAAGCCGCGTCTCTGGTTGTCATACGGTCCAGGCCTGGGTATGTCGTAGAGAAATAGAGCCCTCCGCCTTGTACAATGACGATGGATTCACAGCTACGTGGAGTCCCTGTCGAACGAGTTGTCGAGAGGGGCGCATGGTCAGCGTGAGTCGATTTGCAAGGATCCCATCCTCAGGAAGATATGCTCAGAGCTTTGAACGCTCGCCTCGCCCACACAGTCAGCCCGATTGACTCGTATTACTGTGTGGCCATGTTTGGGTTGCGCATCACTTGGCTGTTTGCTTAGCGGTACACCGTGGGCTGCACGATTGTCCCAACCTTTCTGGTCGGCAGCATCAACGACAGCTTGGAGATGGACAGCCAGCTACTACGGGCGTTGTGCAAGGGTCCCTCGTCGTGAGTTGATGTCGCTCGCTCTTAATCGTCACCGCCTGACCCTCGCTCAATGGGAGCCAGTGTGTAGCCATTTCAGGAACACTGCCGTTTTCGGTGACTTGACAGCCCGGGTTGTGGGGGCCGGTTCCATTGCATCAGGATTCGTTCCTGCGACAGCCCACTGAGATGACGGGGCAGACCCAGAAACATCGGAGGGGAGAACCAGGGTACCATGTTACATCTCCGAGTCATCGCCGGCTGCCCCGTTTCGACCAGCGGCCTTGTTCTGCTGCCCGTGCTTGGACTCTTCCAGTCTGGCCCAGACCTCTCTTGCTATTGACCCGTCACTTTGCAACGTACTTGCTGGAGTTTTCATTGATTGATGAAGGTTGTACCAGAAAAGAGACCATTGAAGTTGAGGCCAGCGGTTGTTTCGTGGCGCACCTTGATGAGATCTTGTGCTTTGCTATTTCGTGGCCAGGTCCATCCATCACTGTCATTTGCAGCCAACACATACACATGAAGTAATCCCAAGTCCGACAACAAGCCATGTCGATAAGCTGATGAGACACCCGAGAAATGGTATGATAGCACTGTTTGCGGCAACCTTGAACATGCTTCCTCGTCGCCAAGTTGTCCAGCTTCCTTCAATCTTGATTCTCCTGGCGTGAAGCTGGAAAGGCTGCAGTGTCGTCAACCGCCGTTGGTTCAGAACGCTTTGCTGCATCGCTCAGACTCACACTCTCATCTTGATGGACGCAATCCTGTGGTCTGCTGATGTCGTCCTTCTTCTTGCCGCTCTTGGTGGAGGAAACTCTGCTCTGCCCACGTGTCTCGATCCGAGGAAGAAGGCCATCGAATATTATAGGCGGGCGTTCCAGACCCTTCCCTTTCTGTTCAGGGGTTGAGTCGACCTTTGAGTTGCCCGCACCGGGGCCATTGGGATCCATGGATATTAGTAGGGTATCAAGAGCAGCTGCCTGACATTTGTCTGTGTCAGTAAGCTCCGGACTCCGAGCAACGTGCAGAACTATACTCACGGTGTCAAGGTTAAGTTTTCGTAGGAATAAATGGTTGCGCCTCTCTTCCACAGCGAGCGTGTCAGTCTGTACGTACAAGAAGTTGCTTCCGCCAGGAGTCAGAACGATCGGAGTTTGCAACTGATGCGGCATCTTGACAGCATGTACCACAAGAGAATCAAGCTCCTGATATACAGAGGAATCCTGAGAAGTCTGGCAGCTAATGACGGAAGACCCATTTGCCCCGGAACAAGTTCTGAATGCAGATGTCAAGGCGGCAACGAACCTCTAAAGGTCATGGTTCAGCCTTCATCTTGTGTATCAAGGGCAATGGATGTGACTTTGTTCAAGGAATTGTTTTTGCTGACCAATGAAGACTGGGTGAGATCAGTTCAGTTGCGATGGCGATTGGCTGTCTTCCGAGCTGGCAGCCGAACAAGGGCATCCCGTGGCTCGGCAAGGGAGGATACGTCGGGTGAAAATGAGAGAGGCCGATATGCGAAAACTGATGCATAACGCGCCACTAGCAACTGAAGAGCGTCAAGAAGACGGCGGGTCCTGCCGACGAGTTTTCACGGGCTGGCTAGCATGTTGTAGCTTAGATGACCTGTAGAGACCAGGCCAGATTACTCCAGCGTTGAGTTTTACACCTCTAATGGCAGCAACCAGTATTAGACAGTATTTGCAAGAATAAAGAATCGCTATCGCTTGCGGCTGGCCCGTAAGTTCCCTTTGACATGACGAGTCTTGTCGTGTTAATGCTCATGTGCCCGACTCGTGACACTCGCTTTGGCCCCTGAATGGGGTTCCTTATCCACAATGGCAATGGGCACCATGTAACAGTCTGAAGATGCACCAGGCGTAAGCGATTCTGTCTCTGAATAATAATTCGGCTGCTTCCCAATCAGCATAATGTTTGTGGGTGAACCAGAGAGCCCGTTCTGGTCACCGAGGGCTCCCTACTCATCAGGCCCCACAACTTGCATGGAGAACAAGCATCGGTGGACTGCCCGGAGGTAGCGGAGGGTGTCGAGGTTGATCAAGCCCTGCTTAGGGCTGACAGCTGGTCTTGGACCATGTTGGCGTCTTCATATCATTGAATTCTAACGTGTTCTGCTGCCTATACGTTGCTAACTCGGGGTTGAGCGGGCAGGGCGTACGCAAAGGGGCTAATTAGCAAGCTTGACTCATACCCTGACCTTCGTGAGATGCCTGACGCACCTGACAGAGTGCAATTTCCGTCACAACGTGGATCTAATTCTGCATCCCCAGAGCTCTGACGGGCGGTCCGTGTTGGGCGCAGATGTCGACCGTTGTGTACTAAGAAATTGGTCCTGAAATGCGGCTGTGCTGCTACTCGGCACTGCGGGATGCGTGCGTGGCAGACCCATGTCAGTCAGTAGAACACATGAGGACGTTCCGCAAGAAACGTGGGGTACGCCGGCCGCTCTAACACAACACCAGGGTGGTGTTGCGAAGACGAATGGACAGCCGCTCGCCGCAATGACCCAGACTTCGTCGTAGTGATGATAATTAGTTATTCAGATTAGCGATTGCGACCTGGTGCGGATACAGCAAAACCACGATGTATCCGCCTTCGGCAATGTGGGTGTTCGCAGTGTGTGCAATATGTGAGGATGGCCGCAACGTGGCCCCTGTTGAGGCCTCTGGATTTGATGATTCGGTCCCAAGCTCGCCAGTTGATGGGAAAGGTCGTGAAAAGGGCGGTTACCCAGCTAGGCCATGCAAGGACGCTTTGGGAGCATGGCCGTTACTTCTCGGGCGTGACTCCAGCTCCCGTGGAGTGACCTTTCTGGGTGTCCATATATGTCTGACTGGGCCATGATGATAAGGCTGACGAGAACAGATATAGATGGAGTAACAAAAGGGCAGATTGTCTACCAGTTCTCAACAGACGGCCAGTGACCCAGCGCCACGCGGTATGAGCTTTTTGTAGTATCCGGTGATGTACGTTTAAGGAGATATTCAGGCGAAAGCCAGGTGGTAGATGTGATATCTTGGTACGGCAGAGGGTTGCTTGGTGTGAATGGGTGGGGGCAGAATTTCGTTGCTCGATTGTGGGAAGTTGGGCGAACATGTGGCTCAAGCCAGTTCTACCTCCACTCCAACCTGGCCGTGATCCCCATAGACAACCCCACTGACCCAAGCCGCCAGGATTCCGGCCGCAAGACACGTCCCTGACGGATGTACCCCTTTCACTAGCAGGGGCATGCTGGGAGCCCTTGCCACCGTGTGGCTGTTGATTGGTCTCGAAAGGGTTGGGTTTCGTCGTTTGCAGCCGCTGTCCTGCGAGTGAAATGTCCGTGTTGCATCCTTCCGCAGCACATCAAGAAGAGTTGTGGATGTATCAACGTGAGCTGCCAGTACCAGGCAGAGGAGGATACTCAAAAGACTCATCATACTGTGTGAGCTCGCACTTGGGCCCCAAGGTCGATGATTGACTGGGCTGAGGTGATGCAAGTGAGTTTGTGCACTCCATCTCAACCCTCCGCGCTGTCCCTCATATCTTCGACCACTGCCCAACTATCCTGACTGTGTTCTACAGGCTCGAACATCTAGCCCGACCTTGATTGAGTGCGACAAAGTGTACTGAAGGACGACCGTCCCCCCCCCCGCGACCTAACTGCCACGGTCAACCACAGCCATGAAGGCAACTGATTTCTCCGCCAATGGAAAGGTACCCCCCTCTGGCTCTGATGGCGATAATCCAGAAAACCAAGCCTTACAACCGAAAATGCGCAAGCGAGTCCCAATCGAGGTGTGGGAAAGTAAAAGACCTCTTATCACAAGACTGTACCAAGAGGAGAAGAAATCCCTGAGAGAGGTCATGGCGATCATGGAAAGGGACCACCATTTCGTAGCCACGTAAGTTGTACATGTTCCACGTGGATCTTTGTACGCGCCCACTCATACGCGTCGAATTAGGGTCAAGATGTACAAGTCGCGTATATGGAAATGGGGCCTCGACAAAAAGTTGAAGGGAGATGAAGTGCTCGCCATCCTTATTCTCAAAAGAGATCGAGATGCGCTGGAAAGACCTACGGAGTTCAGGATCCGCGGCCAGCTTGTTGACTTTGAAAACATCAAACGCTATGTCAAACGCAACCCTGCACTGGTCGCGAAACTTTGCGACGGACACAAGCCCAACGTTCAGACCGCTCGGGAAGTCACCTGTCGAACCCCGTCGCCAGCTCCTAGCCAAGTCCTCAACTCTCCGGCGGATTTGTACGGCGTCGAGAAGATTCTGGGTCTCTTCCGCGATTATGTTGATGGATCATTCTCGTCGGGATCTTGGTTCTGTGAGTACAACGTCGACTGTGGCAGCAGTCATCTCAACAACGGAGACCGCAGCAACGAGCTCTTTGAAAGGGTCATCGCCAGTTTCGCCCTCGTCAATCGATGTATGATGCGAGGTGACCATATCGATATCAACAGCGTCCTTGGTCCATCCTTTGAGTCATTGAAAGAGATTGTGGCAGCTGAAAGCCCTGACTTCGTGGCGCGTACAGTCTGCCTGCTTTGGTACCTCGACCGGCACCACAAACATGATTTGTTGCGTCTGGTTCTTGATTACCTCGCCGGCTTGATGCCCATCATCTTCGGTCAGCATCACGTCTTGGCACAAATATGGAGGAGCTTGAGTGCCACCAACCTTTCCGATTACTACGAATTGTCGATGAGGTTGTATGCCCTCCTGTTGCCGGACATTGAGGAACGAACAGGACCTGCCAATTTCCTGACCCATCTGTTATACAGCGACTACCTCGACTGCGTGTTCTCTCGTCGAGGGCCGGAAGATTGTGCGGGAATGATAACGACGCATCTCGCCCGCGCTGCTGCATCCGGGAAGCGGCACCCGTGGATTGGCGACTTGGCCCTGTCGCATGCTGGCATTCTTGCAGCGTGCGAGGAGCGTCAAGGCAGGTTGGACGAGGCGGTTGCAATCCTGACCGGCCACATGAATGCGTATGCCTTGACAGACGAACAGACAGCAGCAATTCACCTCGAGCTTGGGGTAAAGTATCTCCACATCGGCAACACAGCAGCAGCGATCGCCTCGTTTGAAATGGCAGTAAAAATCGCATTGACGTCAAACGCTGACGAGCGGCTCTCCATGACAGCACTAGGGAACCTGGAAAAGTTGCTGGCGGAGACAGGGAAATCGAACAAAGCGAACAAGATTCATGAATATCGCATGCGCCGAGTTGCAGCCTTCGCTGAGAAGTCGGCATCTCTTGCCAAGGGCTTCGAGACCGAGGACGATGCTAACGGCGAAAGTGACCTTGGAGACACGGAGAGGGAAGAGCTGGCTTTGTGGCTGTGGATGGACGAAGACTTCGAAGAGCCGCAGCTGGACTGGCTAACCTCAGCGAACTGCATGCATGAAAACGAGGGAGCTTTTGCCCCCGTCTACCCCAATACAGTATCGTGGATTGGTGTGGCAGCTCATGAGGCACCAGGTGGGGTGTCAAACAACAGCGGCAGGACAGAAACTCAAGTCGACGTGGCTGAGATAGGCACAGACTTCACCTACAGTCCTCGGCCGGGGATTCAATGAAGCTGTGGAGAACAATCAGCACGCAGGAATACTTTCATATGGTTTAGAAGACTCACCTCACCAGTGTGCAACCGGCAGTGGCCGGCGGCTCGACTTCAGCTGAAGCGAAGTGGGATGGAAGGTTGATCAATACACATGAAAATGGCGTGCCAAGGGACGGTCGTCTGTCTCGATTGCAGACAAAGAGGTGAAGCGTTTACGCAAACATCAATTGCCGGCTGAAGGCAATCGTAGCTGTATAGCTATGAGTGCAAGGCGATCGCGACGTCATTTTAGGAATGCTGACAACTATATCAACCTGACATCGACTGTATGGGTTTGCCGTGCCTGTCATTTCGTGACCAGGCACCCACCACCGAAGGGCAACGAAGCAATGTCGGTGAAACGAGGATACACTTGGCGACAACATCGAGACCCGGACACGCGTCTGTCAACTGTCAAGAGTAGTATTGATGTCCAAATTCTGGGAGGCTTGCCGCTGGCTTGCCGTTGAAAGTTGAAGCAGCTTTCGCTTGCTCCCACGAAAGAATCGACAGTGAGGTTGGTTGTGCTTTGTTGTCATGCATCTCGATAG